ATATAAAATCAACAATGCCCTACCATAACTAACATACCCAAGAACACTTCAGATCACACACAGAGATTACAAACTGAGTAGACTTGAACTGAAAACTGGAGCTTTCAGTTTCACCAAACAACAACTTCCTAGGCCAGCTAAATTTTAGTTAAATATTTGAAGACAAAGAAAATAACACATGCAAAGCAATTCACACTGCACCTCAAATGAAAAAATAGTGCAGTACCTTCTCATCCTCACATAACACTTTGTTCACGTGATACTCTTCAAAAACCAACTTCTAAAAGAATTTGTTGGGAATAACAGCTTCTCATTAAAGCATTTAATATTGGTTGAGATAGAAAACAAACAAATAAAAGAGTATAATCTGTGTCTCTAGAACAAGTGAACAGCCACTAATTCAACAACTTTAAATATCAGTTGCACAAGCAAGAGGCTTAAACAATGCAGAAAGGGGGCACTCCTCCCCCCATATTTTTGTATTCTAACCAGAGATAAAATTCTTAGCAACATGGAAGTTTAGGAGATGTGGTACAGCTGAAAAACGCTACCACTTCTTCATTTTCCTGCAAAATAATTATGGCAAATTATGTTATGCTATATAAAACTTCTGAGAAGTTTTTCTGGCCAGAAGCACTGCTACTGCTGAAGTTGCTTCAACAGTCTGTGATCACCCACAGAACTGTTTTCTAAACTACTCTCAGTGTTGCCCACTACTGTCTGCAGTGAACTAAGAAGCAGTTATCATTATTTCAAATAAAAATACTGCAAGGATTATGACAAATAAGGCAACGATATGGGTAAAGTAATTTTTAATGCTATTTCTTTAGTCAAATACACATTTGAAACTATTTCAGAAACTTTAAACTCTTAAAAAAGAAACCATACCTGATACTCTTCTGTTGTATCTGTTAACAACTGGAGCTGAAAAAAAAAATAAAATAAAAATTACACATTTGTATTGATTATTACAAAGTCATCATCTTAATCATTGCTATTTTTACTACACCAATCCCATACAAATCTCAAAAAGATAAAATGTTTTCATCCACTTACTTGCCCAGCCAGTGCTTATTCAACATTAAACTGCATATTCCTGAAAGCCATTACATGCTAAGATGGCTGGTAAGAGCTTTGGGGTTCTTTTTTACCTAGTTCTGAAAAAAATATACCTTTACAGAGGTTACTCAGTCTTAACCTACCATCAGCACTTTAGGTTAGCTGTGCCTACTTAACATGGATCAAAAGCCAAAGGAACTTATTGCTAATCCCTTCTACACTCCTACAGAGTACAAGCTGTGTGAGTACCAAGGCAGTGCTCCCATAATAACTCCAGTCATCTATCCCTGACCAAGGCTGCCTTCCATAAAGGATTTAAATTGAAAAATTCTGAGATGGAGAATCCATTGTTTCCTTGCTCCTTTGTTCATGCTGTTGGCTATACAAGGTACTTGAACTTTAGTTTGGGATGAACTTCCTTTCACTGTTCACATACATTTTGACATTAAGTCAACCTTCAGCAAACAGCATCTTTGTCCCTTTCCCTGTAACCAAGTTACTGCCTTTGTGAGCTGCTTCAGTCTCAACACAAAACCCAATTAACCTGTAAAGTTTCACCCAGAACAAAACCAAAGCATTCTGCTCTCCTTCACCAACCAAACTAAGAACCAAGGTAATTTTATTCTGAGTGCTTCATGCTTTCCCACTTCTCTTCCTTTTAATGGATAGTTCTATTTTTCCTGATAAAACCAATGAACTTTTTATTTCATTCATCAAACACTCAGGAATTAGATGAGCCCTAATAACCCACCAAAGCACATGTACCAAAAATCCAGATTTATTAAACACATGCTACTAAAATCTTAATGACCCCATCATGTCCTAGAAGTTACAAACTCTAGAAGTATCTTGGCACCATCAGAACACGTAGAACGATGCTTTCTTAACAAATACACAGGGGAAATAATCAGGGTAACTCCAGAGTTTTCAGCCAAATCTACCAACAAGGAGACAATGCTTAGCTTCACAAGAAACTCAGGATTAAAAGCAAGATTACTCTGAATTTTACAATTTATATCTAGATTTAAACTTCTGTAACATGACATAACCCCTATAAAAATAACCCTGACGCACTGTTTCATACATCAAGACTGAAGAGGTTCAAAAACACTGAATAATAAACCTGAGAATTCAGGCAACTTCATCTTCAAACCTTTAAGCAGTTCTTGACAGCAGCAACCCTTCCTGCAAATAAGGGCAGCATAAATCTCACTTGCCAAAGGACACCAGGGATGTGAGAACTTTCTCTCACCTTAAAGGGAGACAGGCATTGGGAACACAGATCCATTCAGGTTTATTAAACAAACAAACCTGTGCAACTCCCTGAACTGAAAGTATTTCTATATTTTGCCCTGCTCTTAACTGTACAAGCACCTCATCAAGGTCATAACAGTTTCAAGTAAATGTTTAACTCCTTTCCTATATGGATTCAGATACTGTTAATCAAGTGCTAGTGAGTAAATACATTGTTTCAGACTCTATGCAGAAATTCTTCACTACTTTATGATTCCTACACCCATTTCTTACTCATGTTTAAGAATAACATTTTAGTGTCTTTGAGCAGAATTAATATACTACAGAAAACTCTGACGTACTTTGGGTAACAGAAAAAAAATCCACTCTTCAAAGCCTATGCCTTCTTTTAGAATCTTGATTATTTCATCCCATAGCAGGGTTCAGTGTCATCAAAACTGCATCAAGTTTTCCAATGTTAAAAATGAGAAAAACACATAACCTTTTAAGGACAGTTAGGAGAGCACTATTATTCTGCCTCCACAAAGCTTTTAAGATTAAAATGATAGTTTGCATTTCTTACACCAGTGACAGTTTTAACATGTATAAAATTCCAGGTTCACTTTTATATGTTGTCAGAAGATGACTGTTTTTATGCTAAAGGGGAAATCTGACATTTCCTACTAGAGAATATTAGTTGGTTTTTTTTTTCCTTCTAGCTTACCAATGAAAAGCTCTCTTTGCTTATGACTATTTTCAGTATACCACAGTCACTACAGCCACTCCCATGGCATCCTTGTGTTTTGTCATTAGAAATATGTGGAGAAAAGCCTGGAATCGAGGACTGCTAAGAGAACAGCTCCTGAAGGTCCCACATACATCTACATTAGTCTGTGGACAGATTCCAAAAAACTAGATGAGGCGGAAGGGAGTAATACATTGACAATAAACACAGCCCATCTCTTAGACTGAGCTCTGAAGGGCATCTAATTTAAAGCAAAAGCGAGGGACACACGAATAACAACCTCTTAGATTGGCAAAGCCATCAGAGCAACCTCTGCCTACACCATGACAGGAATCCTGAGAATCAAGCACATCAACCTGGAACCACTCAGCAGACCTGGGATCTACAAAAACAAGATGAAATTGCTGCTTTGTAACAGGAAACATTTCATTTTTTGTACCTCCAGTTAAAACTAGAACTGAATTCCCCTCCTGCACACCAGTGGGACACAGCTCAGGCTGAACAATGGGCCATGTCTCTGGTAATAACACGAATGTTATTATACATTAATTGCAGAAACTATAATGAGATTAAAAGATTTTGCTGTGAGATGATTGCATTGTAAACTCTCCGTTATGTCAAAACCTCAGGTGCAGCAATATTCCAGTCCAAATGTCTCATACCTTTGGCACAGTTCCTGCTTTTACTTGGCTCATGGGAACCAAGACACGGTAATTGGGTAAACACAACAAAAACTGAGTTAAATTAAACCATTGTACCAGAAGAGAGCAAAACGGCCCAATTTCCTCCCTGGCAGCCAAAGGCAAGTGACTCTGGCAGTGGAAAGGCGGATCAAGCTGTGCATTCCACAGTTTTGCCAGAACTGACTCAGGGCAGTGATCCTACTCCACCGTTCAAGAAAGATGAGAAATGTCTACTGAACGTGTCTGTGTTCTCCACACTGTCCTGAGGCACAGACTGAATTGAGCACTAAACGGGCTGTTTCAGATTAAAAAACCTTTCTTCCTCAAAGCAAAAGGTATGTCATTACATTTCTTTAACAAAAAATTATTTGAATAATTTGCATAAATAAATCAGCATAGTCCATTTCATTACTTCAAATCACAAATGTACCCGACATCAAAGAACAGTACTGCTACACAGCTATACTATTACTTGTCAGTGCCTCCATTCCACTGGTTTCTCTCACTTGAAATATTAGGAATGTAAATTTCTAAATCACAGACTGGGATTTTAAAATATCTTTTAAAATACTTGCAAAAAGTAACAAAACAGGAATTTCTTCAGTATTTTTTAGTTTGCTTGGGCACTGAGATGTACTTTGAAGTACCTGATTTTGGCTCACTAAGCTTAGCTTACAAGAGTTCTGATTATGGCTATAGGTAAGTGTAAAATTCAGCCTCACAGGTTGAATGGACAGAGATATTACCTTTTTTTGACATTTGCTTTCAAATCAAACCAACAATTAAAGTATTTAAGCCAAACAAGTGACAGTAAAATCATTCTTTACAATCAGACCTAAAAGCATGCTTTTCTTACAGTGCGTGGGCTCCCTTCTCTGTCAGTGACTTTGAAAAATGACTAGTGAAAAAAAAAACAAAACCCCACCATCAGGCTTTTTGCAATGTACACTACTACCATCACAGGGAAAGCTGTTTCTCCACACTACTCATAAGCCTGAAACAAAGAGAAGTACAACCATCATTCTCCCAGCTACAGCTGTGCTCTTCTTACCTGTCCAAAGAACACTGAATTCTTTCAGAAAGGACAAAGGAATCTCAAAAGATCAGTTCAGGGTCACTGGAAAAAAATTCAGGGACAAATGAATGACTGGTATTACGGGCACGATGTTACAGCGTTAGATGTTTTGGATATCTTGAAAACTTATTCTCCTCATCCAGAAGCCCTTTGTTTCTCAGCAGGAGTTGTGAACACTTCCTAATTACAACTGGGGTAAAAAAATCCCCACATGCTCATGTTTCTGATACAGGACACAATTCATAGCAGCAGACTAAGTTAAGCTACTGTGCACACAGATATGTAATACAGATCTTTTGTGTAACTCTAATCAACAATTTTCTGATGGTTTCCTGATGAAGGATGGAGCAAAGCTTATAGTAGGTGGCATAAATTTTGTAGTATAGTATTCAGAGTGCAAAGAGCATACGCACAAATCACAGGTTTATTAAAACAAAGTAACATAAATCAGTGATTTTCAGAGTACTTTCCCATCAAATCATGGAACAAAATCATCCTATGTGAGCAGAAATAAAAAGAGAAACAGAATGTAAACTGTTCTAATATAACAAGTCAATTAAGATTATCCAAACAACAAGTGAGTTGACACTATAAAGCATTGAAGCTGAAATACCAGAAGCAGAGTGGAGAATAAATCTGAGGCGTGACTGCCTCTGTGGAATGTTATATCAAGTTACGATAAGGAAGTGCCAGCCTACAGCTGTCAAACTGTTTTTCTACACACCAAGATGTTAATGGACTTACTTAGATAGAAACTATCACAACTCTGAGAAAACTTCTGAATTCAACTATCAACTTCTTAGGAATCCTGGCAATTAAGAAGTAATACTATAGCAGAAACAAGACTTTCATATCGTCAGATACACAATCATACTTTAATAAATACCAATCAGAGCCTTTCCCTTCGACAAGTAAGTAAAATAACGGGGTTCCCTGTGAATACTACTAATATAATAGTTGAGTACCCCTGATTTCCTTCAGGATGTCTTTACTGGACAGGGGCAGATTCCCCTTCCACATCTGTGCTTGATAAGGTGGGGAGTGTGACCAGGGCTACAAACTACTATGATTTTTCCAGAGGCAGCTCTGGAACCCAACAGTTCACGTCAAATTTTCTTCCAGAAAGGCA